GATATGAAGCCCGGCATTCCACCAATCATTCCACTCACTCCCAAGACAATGCCGGCATAGTTGGGCGACAGATCCACCATGGAAGCCAATGGACCGGAGGACACTGCGCCATGGAACATGGTGGCCACTGTAACCAGCATTATAGCTGCCGTGGCATTGTAACCAAAGTAGGCTAGAGCCAAGATCAACAAACCCTTAACGCCACAGCCTGAAAAAACATATTTTTAAGAAGCTAAGCATATAACATAAATTTTAAATTTAATTTAATCTAAAATAAATAAATTGCAAAATAAAATGTATGATTTATGTAAGACATGATATTTGGTTAGCCGCGATACTTACAGATGAAGGTGGCCAACTTGCGAACATTGGTGCGACTCAGGCGATCCGTCCGTAGAAGATAATCGGCAAAAGTGGAGAAGACATAGGCGAAGATCATCCGCATGAGATGGGGCAACCCCGACAAGAAGCCCGTCTGAAAGATGGGATGTAATTGTAAATATTGTTTAACCCATTGAAAGTAATCCACCAGTCACTCACCGCTCGGATGTTCCAGTGATGGATCTTGCTGAAGTAGGTGGGCGCATGGGTCATCAGTGTAAACAGGCCCCAGATGCCACCCCATTGGGCAACCACATTCAGCCAAACCGGACGCGAGGTGGCTATCGCCTTCCAGGGTGTTGGTCCCTTGGCACTTTGTACCGAGGCTCCCAAGGACTTTTCGATATACTTCCTTTCCGAATCGGCGATGCGGGGATGCTGGGCGGGAGTGTCGAAGACGAGAAACTGCCAGGCGATGAACCACAGGGTCCCGACGATGCCGCAGATATAGTAGACCCATTCCCATCTGGTCCAGTCGATGATGTAGCCGAAGATCGGATAGAACAGGGCCACGCCCACGGAGCTGCCCAAATAGGCACTGACAAACTTGCTGCGCTCGTTGGGCGGAATCCACTTGGCGGTGAGCACGTGCATCGATGGCCAGGCCAAGCCCTGGGGAAAACCACCACATTAATACCAATCCATAACCACATTTCGGGAATCACTTACGGTAATCCAGCCCTGGAACACTCGAAGGACAATCAAGCCAGTGTAACTCCAATACGAGACGATCGGTATGAGGAAACAGCAGAACACACCAATGCCGTTGGACCAACCAAAGATCAATTTGGTGCCATATTTGGTGGCCAAGATACCGCCGGGAATCTGCAGGGTCCAGTGGGCCCAGAAAAAGGATCCCAGCAGAGCGCCTTGCTGCTTCTCGTTCCAGTTAAATCCATCCCTATCGTATGGGATCTGCCAAAAACCATAGCACATTACTCATACGCCCCGCTGTTGTACAAGCTGCATCACTTAGTGGCTTCATTAAGTACTTAAACAGTGATTCAGCGACTGGATTGGATACAATACTCACACTCGCCCAGTCCAAAAACCAACGCTCCAGCGAAAATCGTTCATCCAATTTCGTCGAATTTTCGAGTGTACTATTTTCGGTTAAATTTGAGGAAATCGCACCCTTGCCGACAATCATGTCCACAATGGTGATGTTCAGATTGATCCGGATCATGTAGTTGACGATGAAGCCCATGAATGTCATGTACCAGAGCACAGTACGCGCCTCGACTGCAAGATCAGAGCAAAGTAAATGAAATGCGAACCGCCAACTTGTGGTCGCTCTTAGTTTGGAGGTCTTGGGCCAGATCTTTGACAAACTTCGAGGTAAGACACGAATTCCAGCTCATTCTCATACCTTGAGCCATGACGAATGGATTGGCTGGCTGGATGGTCCTCCCCAAAAATTTGGACTCTGATTTCGCAGGAACTGTAATCCTTGCGTTTTGATCTCCGACGATCAACCGCTACGGACCGCTGCCGGAATAGAATGCCAGACGTAGAGTCCGCCCGTATCTGTATCGCTTTATCCCAGCCGCACGCTACTGATAAGCGCCGCCGATCTGACGGATTATGCTGCAGCTCGGCTCGTGATCGCTCATGAATCTGCCCTGCATGCGACGGACTACGACGACTTCCCCGACTCGCACTTAGGCAGATCGGATCAGTCAGCTGTTGGACTATCTTTATGGCATGGCGTGCTCCCAGTGGGTTTGGCTATCGCGTTACGAGCGCCGGAGACTAGATAGTCGAGGAGACATTTTAACGGCAGGCCGCTAGCCGGATTTACAGCTTCGCAAAGTCCAAACAAACATACGATTATTGTGAAGCAGAAGCAGAAGGGTTCATTTGTCTGGCAAAAATGATAGGCACGGAAGGTTAGGTTCCTTTGATCTTATTTTGAACTAAGGTCGTGAAATTCTCTATTGTTTAGTAAATAAATCATTTTCCCTTACTTACATTGACAACTGCAAACACAATATGAAGATACAATTATATTTGAGTTTACACCGATAAATTCGCCAGTCGCGATCTATTGAGAACTTGATTCACAGTTTAGCTGTGTTCTTATTGCCACCGGAAACATTTACATGAGGATCATAGCGTGCACTTACTACAAAACTGGTATAACTCAAAATATATCGTTTATCAAAGACTGCAAAACAGCATTCCTGTGTTCTAAGAGTATCTTTGCCGTAGATTTATGCATTCAGAATTATAAAAAACTTTGTAGTAAGCGAGCATCGTGTACTTAGGTAGGCTAGCATAAGGGTGAGACCTACGAGTTGCTGTCTAAATAGAGGGCTAACAGTGGTGCGAGTCTGCCGTCGTGGGCGAGACCGTCGCAGGGCGTGGTGCTCCACAAGTGGCTTCCCACAGACGGCTCAGCACTCATCCGACGTTCTCGTAGGACATTGCTGGCCGTTCGCTGGCGGTGGATCCGAAGATCGTGGGCGGATGATGCTGCCCCTGTTGCTGCTGCTGCTGCTGGTGGGGATGCTGTTGCTGCTGCTGTTGCTGGTGAGGATTGTGGGCATGCTGGTGCTGCTGGGCGGGCGGCTGCTCGTTGCGCAGCTGGCCCAGCGGGAACATGATGTTGTGCGTCATCTGGGGATGGTGCAGGTGCTCATTGGGTGGAGGCGGTGGCGGTTGCTGTTGGGCTGCATGATGGGCGGCCTCCACATGCTTGCGCAGCTCGCTCTGCTGCTGCTGCTGCTGCTGATGAACCTTCTCCACGGCACTGTCCTCGTACTTTTTCTGCAGCTGAAAGAGGGGCAGCTGCTGGGAGGCATGGAGAGGCACAGCGACTGATCCGGCGGCTGTCACTCGCTCCACCTGTGACTGAGGCGACGGCTCTCGTTCACCTTTTTCGTACTTCTTCTGCAACTGGTACATGCTGTGGGACAAGTGGGCTGTCACCGAATTGCTGCCACTGCTGCTGGAGCTCAATTTCGAGGATGTTGAAGTGGAGGATGGCGTTGACTTCTCCGCCTTGACGGGCGACTTCTTCTGGTACTTCTTAAGTATCTGCATTAGTTCGGACTTTACGTCGAGGCGTATTTCCTCGGGAACCCGCTTGATCTCCTCGTACAGGGATAGAAGGAACAGTTTGTCGGGATCCCGATTCTTGCGCTTCTTGCTCTTCTTGGGAAAGGCGTCCTGCATGAACTGCAGCAGCTTCTCCTCGAAAGGCGATTCCCTGGCGGTGGATCCATGCTGGCGCCTCAACAAGTGCGGATGCAAGCCACCATGAAAGGCCGGGTGCTGGAGCATCCCGGAGTGCGACTGGCCGCCCTGGTCACCGCCGTTGTGGGCTGCCTGCAGCTGGGAGACAGGGTGGCCCTGATACGAGCCACCATTACTCGAGCCGGGTGCATCGTTGGTTTCCCCGTCGTTGGTGTGGTGATCCTGCTGTGGCTGCTGTCCCGCATGTGATTGCGGATCCTTCTGGTGCTGCATGTTGTGCTGATGATGACCCACTGCTGCCGTTAGGATGGCATCGCACAGGTGCTCTGGGGCATAGTCCAAGCCGGTCAGAAAGTTCTCCGCCTTAAGCTCGCCATTCATCTCCTCGTAAAAGTACTCGGTGCCCACAATGTCGATGATATCGTTGTCCTCCTGGTTCAGTTCAATGCCAGGAGGCGGAGATCCCCCAGAGAGTTGGCAGCGTTTGAGCTCCGCCAGCTTCTTCCTGGTCGTCAGTCGCATATCCCGCCAGCACTGCAAGGAATTTAATGTAGAGTTTGCACTTCTGTGGGCCAGTTGACTCACCTTCTTCCACTGGATGATGGTCTTTTTGGGGCCAATGGTATTCAGTGCCGCCTGGATCTTCTCCCAGTACCACTCCTTCTCCTTTTTGCCCTCCATGTACTTGGTTTCCCGCAGTAATGTGATGAGCATCTTCTTCTGCGGCTTGGTCACTCGATCCTGGAACGATAAAGTACTCATCAATTCCCACATTCCAATCAATGAATTTTCACATATCCGTTCTTTTCCCGCCTCCAAAAGCACTCAATTGTTGCTATTGTTTATCCAAATGCCAGCGGTGTCTACAATTTTTTGCTGCTCCCCGCACACACTCACACATGCACACAGGCCATGCGTGTGTGTGATTAAAGAATCGAATGTTTCGAATTTCTGCACCCTGCAAATTACCATTGTGAGCTTCTGGAGCAATCTGCGTTGGTTCGAAATCTTGATGATTTGGTTTTCAACAGCCGACGATTTTTAACTACTCAATTTCGGTGAATTTTGTTTAATTTTTCACTCCGTCAATCATTGCTGTTGCTGCCTTTTCTTCTTCTTCTTGTTGCGTACGTCTGTATGTGTGTGTGCGTTTGACGGTCTCACCAGTTTGACGTTTCGCCCGCCCGGTTGGAAATCAGCTGATGCGCAAACGACCGTTACAAAATTTGAGTGTTACGAAAGTAGAAAAAATACCTCTTTTTCTAATTACGGCAATTAAAATATTTTTACTTCAACATTTTGAATAGTATTTATGGTTTATTTTTCGTATTTAACACTAAACAAATAAGCTATGATTTTTAAATGCTTTTCAAAAGATGCACATAGCTACATATCTACTTTTTTTCCCAAAATAAACTCTGTTTTATAGACAAATTTAAACTTTAATCATGTAATAAACTGATGGATGTTTAACAATGGAGCCAAAGCTAAAAAAGTGGATCCTTTGAATGCCAATACACTTGGTACAAAGTAAAAATAAGCAGGAAATATTCGAATCGGTCCAACTTTCACCAAAATGAAAAGGAAATGTTTAAGAATTGGAGATTTCTTAAAAATAATAAATAATACGAGTCCATGATCAGCGTTTGTTGGTGGTCGCCTGCCTGCTGACCTGCCTGGTGATGGTGGACACGCCCTCCTCAAAAAGTGTGCGGAATAATACGTTGGCATGATTGAAGAGACCATCCTTGAGGGACACTATTAAGAACTGCGAGTTGGTGAAGTGCTTCTTCAGCATGCTGCCAATGTTCTGCGTGTGCGACATGTCCAGAGCGGCGTCCACCTCATCCAAAATGTACAGGGGAGCCGGAGAAAACTTCAGCATGGCTAGAACAAGAGATAAGGCCACCAGCGACTTTTGGCCACCGGAAAGCTCACCCAGACTCTCCTTCCACACTCCATTGAAGCCCACCTTGATCTCCAAGCCCGTCAAGCAGCCATTGGTATGAACGGGATTGAGTTTGGCATCGGATCCTGGTAGAAGGGAGCTAAAGATTCCGCTAAAGTTCGTGTTCACCTCAGCAGCCGCTCGGTTCAGCTGATCCTGCTCTTCCTCGTCCATCTTCACAATGATTTTCTTGATCTTTTCCTTGTCCATCGCCACAATGTTTCGGCGGCGTTCGGTTTCCTTGAAGTTCTCCTCCTCGCGGTCCAGCACCATGATGGCGTTCATATTGAGGCTCAACTCCATTTTGTCCTTCTTTTCCTGCATCTTCGCCAGCTTATTGCCGGCCTCGTGGGGATCCTCCTTGCTGTAGTCGTACCGGGTGTTCTTCATGCCAAAGCAGTTCTTCTCCTCTGGGATCCAGGGGTATTTCGTCTCGAGAGTTTCCATTCGTTTCTTTGCCTCCTTGGCCTGCGAAATGATATCTTTCTGGTCACTTTCCTTCTTCTTCACCTCTAGCACAATTTTCTCATTCTGTTCCAGCAGTTTGCGCTTCTTGACCATCAGATTTTGCATCTCATTGTTCTGGGCGTTTAGTTTGTCCCTCTGCATCTTTATGGCCTGCTCCAGCTCTGCTACCTCGGAAGCAGCACTGGAGCTGTTCGCTTTCAAGGCGTCCAGGTCGGCCTTGAATTCTTCCAGGTTGTCAATCATCTCCTGATGCTGTTGCTTTGCTGTTTCGATAGTTTTCTGCAGTTCCTTTATCTCCAACTGACGAGTTTCAAACTCCTGCTCTCGTTTCTTCCAATTTGCCTGGGATTTCTCCGCCCGCTGCTTGGTGGCATTAACTTCGCTGGTAGCAGCTTTTAGCTCTCGTTCGCGATAGCTTTTGGAGTCTGCCAACTTGGCCTCGATTTCCTTGATTTTGGCCTGCGAGGTCTTCTGCTTCTCCCGGGCGTCTACACTTTGCTGCTCCAGAGTCTTGACTCTCTCCTTTATCTCTTCTATTTCCGCCTGATTTCGTTGAAAGGTCGTTTGGGCCAACTTGCTCTGGCACTCAGTAAGCTCATGCTGACGCAATTCCAGGTTCTCTTTCATCTTGTTAAACGAGTGGGCTAGGTTTTCAATAGATCTGTGAAGCGAAAACGATGAGTTTTGGTTCGGGGGTGGAACTTTGTATACCTACGCCATTTCCTCTTCAACTTGCGAGATCTCTGAGTCGATCTCCCTGTACTCCCTTTCAATTTTGTTGATAGAATACAGTTCCTCCAGCACATTAGCACCCTTGGGAGCAGCACCTCCGGATACAGTGCCATGGGGATCAACTACATCTCCTTCCAAAGTCACAGATCGGCAATTAATACGCGGATCGTAGCTAATCTGGGGATAAAGAACAGGTAAGAAGTTATCCTAAAAATATAACTTATTACTCACCTGTTTGGCGATTTCAAGATCCCTGCAGATAAGGGTTCCACCAAAGCAATACTTCATCACAGGTTCATAGCAGCGATCGTAGTTGATCAACGACATGGCCCACTGAACGTTTTCGGCACCAACTTTGTTCTGAGCGTATTCCACGACATTTCTATTGAGCGAGCCCGACTGAATCTTATTGATGGGAATAAATGTGACACGGCGCTGAAGGTTGCCCCTCTGCAGGATTCTTTTGCAGGTAACATCGTCGTCAGTCACGTAGCTGTATAACTGAAATAGAAAGCAAGATCAGAGGGGTGCTCATGAAATGAAGTGGTTACTTACATTTCCTCCTGCCGTCATCACAAGAGCCATGGAGTTCATCATGTCTTTGACCTTGAACAATTTGCCCACCATACCGCGCACCTTGCGCCGATCAAAGTTTGGCTCTGGGTCCTGGTACTGCAGATCATAGCGGGAAGCATTGCAGCCATCCAGTTTCCGTTTGATTTCGCGTTTGCGCATGTGTAGATCATTTCGACGCTGTTTCAGCTGCTCAAACTGACCGCCCTCATAGTTGAGCCCTTGCAGCTGCCGTTCTAGGTTCTTGATCTCCACCACCAACTGGTCATGTAGACTCTTATCCTTTATGTAGGCGGCATCGTTGGTCTGTATCTCCCCTTCTTTCTGCTTTAAGACACCTCGCGTGTGGCGCAGCTCATTCTCAGAGGTCTTGATGGTGGCTTGTGCCTCACTGAACTGTATATTTGCCGCTAAATAGGCGAAATAAAAGAGTAAAATGGTTTGTGTCATCCCCTGATAAACTTACCCCTCAACTGTTCTTGTAGTGTTGAGGCCTGACCGTCTTCGTTAGTGGACAGTCCCTGTGAGACAGCCTCTAGCTTCTTTTTAGCATCCTCATACGCTTTGGAGTCCGTGGCATCGGCTTCTTTCAGGCTTTCAAACTCGTCTTTAAGCTTGGCCATGTCCGCCTGTTTTTTAGTGAGGGCACGTACATCATCCTCTATATTTTTTAAGGCTATGCGAATCTTTGTCTCATCCTGTTTAATTCTTGCCTGGGCAGTGTTTAAACTACCCGAGGCAGTAGCCCGCAGTTTCTGCTTCTCATTAAGCTGCGTTTCCAGTTCTTTGATGGAGCCACCCATTTTTGCATCAATCTGCTGCTGCATCTCATTCACGGAGCTATCAATGGTCTCGACTTCCTTTAGATTGTTGGCCTGTGTGGCCTTGCAGTTGGCTATACGATCCTCAATTTTCTTCTCATTGGCCTCCACCGTTTTCAGGGTTTCGCATTGCTTGAGATACTTGGCGGAAATGTGGATCCTGATCAGGAAGTCAATGTCACGGCAGATTTTCTGATATTCCTGGTAGACAGAACGCTCCTGGCGAAGTTTAACCAGCTTGGGCAGCACTTCCTCGTCTAGCAAAGCCTTGGTTTCCCGCACTCTGGTCTCCTTTTTTTCGATAAGGGTTTTGGTGGCGTCTCGCTTTGTTTTGTACTGACTGGTACCTGCTGCCTCCTCCACCATGGACAGAACCTGAGAGAAGTTTTAAGTTATTCAAAGATTTTCGTACATGGGGATAACCCACATCCTTGGGCTTCATGTTCAGGACTTGCTGGATCTTGCCCTGCATAATGAGGAAGTTCGGGTTGTTGACGTTCAACTGGATCGAGCAGAAAAAGTCCTGCACTTTCTTGTTCTGCACTAGTTTGCCATTGATAAGGAACTTGTTCTTGCCGCCGACGACGACCTGGCGGGCCACAGAGATCTCCCGGCACTTCTCGTAGCCCTGCGGGCACTGAGCGGCGTTTGTGTTGTCGAACACGATGGTAACAGTGGCCTTGGTGATGCCCGCCTGTCCGTTTTTGTACACCAAGTCCTGGAGAGCTGAGGCGCGCACCTGGACACGATAAAAAAACGTTAAAATACATTCCTGAGTATATCCAATAAGTACTAACATTCTGAAGATTACTGATTCCCAGCACGAAACAGATGCTGTCCAAGATGTTTGATTTGCCGGAGCCGTTCAAACCCGTGATGGCCGTAAACTCCGGATCGAATCCTTCAATTTCCGTACGCCGACCGTAGGACTTGAAGCCATCAAGCACAAGCTTCTTCACGTACATTTCAATGCGTTGCGGTTTACCGATTCCTGGCGTCCTTTGCTTTAATTCCGCGTTAAAATTTTACCGCATTTAGTGTGACCGTAGCTGAACCGCTAAAATATACCGAAGTGCGAGCTCTGAAACAATTTCGAGAAACTGTGGCACGCGGAATCACGAAGAATGGGAATTTTTAACAATTCCGATATTCAGTCGTTTGCGGAATGCCCAAATTGCTTTACCTAAATTATTTGTACTTAAAATTCTGAACAAAAAAAATATTTTTTGTAAGGGTTTTAAACAAAATTACTAAAAGGGTCTTTAAAACTTACAGGTAGGATGTTCGAATTCATGCATTTCGATTCAAATTAGCGACTTTTTTTTAAAAAAAATTATAAAACAAAAACAAAAAAAAAAAAACAACATTAAACAAAATTCTTCTAGTTTAATGTTACTCCTCACTAAAAAGTTATAATTTTAAATGTATTCTCGTCACCAGCTTCTCCCTTCACCATCACCTTTTTTAGTTGATTTTATAGCTTGTAAACAACAAGAATGGATAATTTCGACGACGATTCCTTTAATGATGTTCTGGGCTCCATGGAAATGCCCTCGGCGGCGAAGCAACCGAAATTAGTTGAGCCACCTGCAACGGCAGTGGCTCCAAGCAACAACACCTCTATTCCCGCACCTGCCAAGCCGGCTTCCAATCCCCACAGTGTTCTGGTCCACAGCAAACAGCGCGGCAATCCCATCCTTAAATCTATTCTCAATGTTCCCTTGGAGTTCCGAGACGACATCGTGCCGGATTATGTTGTTGGTCGCACATCCTGCGTCATCTACTTGTCCCTCAAGTACCACAATCTTAATCCGGATTACATTTGCCAGCGGCTAAAGGCTTTGGGAAAGATGTACGAGCTGCGAGTGCTTCTGGTCCAGGTGGACACACCGGAGCCACACAATGCCCTCAAGAGCTTGACCAGGATCTCACTGCTGGCCGACCTGACCATGATGCTGGCATGGAACGCCGAGGAAGCGGGAAAAATTATTGAGACCTACAAACAGTTTGAGAAAAGGCCACCAGATTTGATCATGGAGCGAGTAGAGTCGAATCCGCATCAAAAGGTAATTGCTATAAAGTACTCACTTTTAACCATACTGATGAAATACCTTAAATGTTTTAGCTGGTGGCTGCCCTAACCAACATCAAGCCGGTAAACAAGACGGATGCCGTCACCCTGCTGCAAACTTTTGGGAATCTAGGCAACATAATCACTGCCAGCGAGGAGCGACTTTCTCAGGTGATGGGACTGGGGCCCCGAAAGGCGAAGAAGCTATACAAAACCTTGCAGGAGCCCTTTCTCAGCAAGTAGAGGACACTCCAATTACTATGGTGTAATCAACTTCATCCATCATTTAAATACTTTAATTTCTTATAAGGAAGAAACTGTACAAAAAATGAAATTCTATTATTGTTTAACCACTTAAATATACCACACATTGTTCGGCCGACTACTCGATTACTTTCCAAATCTTTATGGTGCCATCATCGCTGCAGGAGATCAGCTGCCCGGCCACCACTGGATTCCATTGCACCGAATTTACGTCCTGTTCGTGGGCACCCTCCTCCGCAGTGAGCTGCTCGAACGTGGGTTCGTCCGGCTGGGAGTCGCTGGTCTCCTTGAAAATGCGGATTCCATCGTCGCCACAGGCGCTTGCTATCAGCCCCGTCAGCTTGCACCAAGACACGTCGTAGACAGCCCGCGAATGCTGCCCGGACAGAGTGCATACACACTTCCACACGGTCTGCTTATCGGGCGTGGCCACTCCGGCTTCATTGCCTGGATGATATGCCCGCCAGATCTTTATAGTGGTGTCGTCGCTGCAGGAAACCAAGCGTTCTCCGTCCGCATCAAAGTCAATGCTCCAAACTGTGCTCGTGTGCGAAGATAACGTCGCCGTGCAGTCCCAGTCATTATCCAAGGCGCTCTCGGCAAACATTTTTATGGTGTTGTCGTACGAGGCGGAGGCCAGGATCTCCTTGGTCGGATGCCACACCACCCGCTTAACGTCCTGTGTGTGAGGGTTCAGAACGGCAGCGCACTCGAACTCATCGTCACCGGCCACCTCCCAGATCCACACGGACTTGTCCCGCGAACAGGTGGCCAGCAATCCGCCGGATCGCGACCAGCTAACGCTCTTCACCTCGTTTTCGTGACCCTCCAAGGTGGCGTTACACTCGAATTCTCCCGAGGATTTCGACCAGATCGCTGTGGTGGCATCAAAGCTGGCCGAGGCCAAGTACTGGCCACATGGAGACCACCGGATCTCGCGGATAGTGCGCTTATGGCCGTCGGATAGAATCGTCTTGGTGCTCCAAGTGTTTCCGGTCAGCGACCAAATTCGAATGGCCTTGTCCTCGCCGCAGGAGGCGAACACGTTGCCCTTGGGATGCCAGGCCACCCCCCAGATGCGTCCTTTGTGGCCCTGCAGCGTGTGCTCCAGAATTAAACGTCCCATTGCTGTTTCAGTGGATAAATCACTGTCTGTCCAGATTTTGATAACAAAGGCGCATGTGGCAAGAAGAAGAGTGTGGCACGGCGTCAGCTGATGCCAGTGCTGCTCATTGCCGCTATGGATTGCTATAAATCTAGCTTCTTTTAATTAAGAAACTAATCTAAACTGTTAGATATATATATTTATTTTATTTTTGAGTGGTCCCCTATATTTTTTGTTTCAGTTGAAATGTTGATTTATAGTTGAATTAATTTGCAATTAAAATAAAAATAGGTTCAACGGAATGTTATATTAAGCCGGGAAATTTAGAAGCGCATGCTCTTATCATGAGCAACGATTATTATGTTAAGGCCCAAACGCTTATAAGCTTAAGTTAAACATTAAATTGGTGGGTATTCAATTCATAATTCATAAAAGAATAATAGTTAGAGTTAAGAAATTAAAAAAATAGTCAGCAAATAAAAAAACAAAATCAAAATGACTTTAACGTTCTTAGCTAAGTTACAGCTTTAAAAAAGCTAGATCTAGCTAAAAAGAGTTGATAGTGTTGTGGAATTCCAAATTGCAGACGTCACCTTTTCTTATCAAAACGAACCGAATTCCGTTACCCAGCACCTATGGTGAAAGTTGTGTATTGTGTTTTTGTGTTGTGCTGATGCTGATAAGAAAATGAACGGATTGATTGTGTTCAACAGCGCCAACGACGTAGTGTACCAGAAACTGAACGAGCCGCTGGCGCAGAAGATCAGGAATGTAGCCACCACCCAAGGTCTGTTGCGGTCCGGCGGCGCCTTGGACAGTAATGTCCTGCTGCAGATTTTCAGCCCCATCGTTGGATCGCAGCGGATAATGCAGTGCCAGTTCGATAACGCCTACTCCAGCTTACAGTGCGAGCAGGGCTTCAATTTGGTGTTTGGGGAACTCCTAGGGTTTACCTTCTTGAAGATCGGACAAATACCCGTCGAGCTACTGGGACGCCAGATGGGTGTGGCTCTGACACTGACTCGCTATTGCTATGGGGCCAACTTGTTTGCCTCTCAGGCGGGCGCCATGCAACAGGAGCTGCTGACGCAGTGCCTCGATTGCTATGAGACTCTGTTGTGGCAGGAGGACCAGACGTTCCTGCTGGAGGCCATGCCCAAGCTTCTGATCAACGCGGAGCTAAAGAGGACGGTGCATCTCACCCTGGACGCCACTTTGGAGCACCTGAGGCAACTGGGACTACCGCGGGCTCACGCCCTTTTGCTTGTTTCCAACAAACTGGTGGCCGTCAACAGTACCCGGCAAGCCCTGCCGCTATCCGCCGCCGACCTGCTTTTCCTCAGCCTCATATCCCGGTCCCTCCAGGCACCCAAGTCCCCGTCCCAGCGGGCAGTAGCCGTATTCCTGCAGGGAGTCTCCCATGACGTCAACTCCGGCTGCGTGCCCAGCATTGTTCACATCTCTCGCTTGCACGGCGACCAGGTTCTCCTGCAAGTCATCGAATACGCCCACATGCCGCTGACCAGCTGTATTTACGACTCCTTCTTTGTGCTCCAGAAGATCGTGGCCGTGCAGCATCAGGGGGACTCGGACGCGCTGAAGCCCGCCTACGAGAATCTCGAATCCTTTATTGCCCAGGCAATAACCGCTTTGAAGCGGTACTTAAAACAGCGCTCGGAAACAGAGGACTTGGAGAACTGCACGAAGAAGTTTGCCGCCAAATGGGAAAACCTGCGCAAGATGTACACGGAGTACTTTAAGAACTTCGAGCGAGAGCTTCTGGTGAGAATAGAGTCGAATCTACCCTCGTTTGGCGAAGAACTGAAGCAGATATTCACACTAGCCTGCTGCGACAGCTCCAGTGTCCATGAACTGGACCAGCTGTCCGATACGGCGGCCAATGTGGAGGCCAAGCTGCTTGAGTTCGCTGAATTCCTGGCCGTGAAGGCCACTCGCAACATATCCATCGATGCTTATTTGGAGGACTTTCCCGGCCTGGTGCATTTCATGTATGTGAACCGCAGCAAAGGTCAAATGCTGGCCCCGGATCTGCGACCCAACCAGCTGGTGCCCAAGACGAAGCTTTGGAGCATGGTAGAGATTGCGAGGAGCTATCTAAAGAAGGGCCAGACCACGGTCATTTGGAAGGACAAGGCGTTCCACTACTCGTACTTCCTCTGGTTCGAGGATCAGTCGGGAGGGATTCTCAACACCACTCTGGACTTGCAGCAGCACTTTCTGGCCACAGGAGCAGCTAGTGGCAATGGTTTAAAATCCCCAACAGAACCGGGCGCACTAACCATGGACTATTACCACGATCTGGCTGATTTGTGCTTTCCCAAACTGTCACCGGCGAAAGTGCGCGTCTACGAGTTGTACTGCATCCATCTGGGACTGGTCACCGCCACATGTGCCGTGGAGCACGCCCGACGACTGGTGGCCACTATCAGCGATGTTGTAGGCGAAGAGACATTTTAATCAAGTTTAACCCCTTGCCAACTTAGCATTCCATGGCACATTTCCAGATGCAGATGCACATTTCCAGCACATGATTCTAGTCAATTTACGAGACTCCTTGAGGAGATATTCCAATCGAAATTTGTTAGATTAAGAACAACTATCCACTGTTTTAGGCTACACCATAAAGATATTTGTAAAAATTTTTTTTTTCAATCGGTAATAAAAACGTAACAATGAACCTGTTTATTGTGTCTCAGGTTCTTGCACCTTATTTAGCTCATCGATCTTCTCCAGAAAGAAGGATTTGCGGGCTGTGAGCGGCATGGACTTCTGACGAAGCATGTAGTTCTCGTTGCCCAAAGCGGTGTAGGTATTGTCTCCAATTAGATCCCTTAGAGCAATGTTTTTCTTTAAATGCTTATCGTAGAAGCCGACTCCGGCGGCCACGAATTGGGGACCCATGCTGGCAAGCCGCTTGTCGATCTCAGCGTCCGTGGCCACCTGATTGTAGTCTTTCATGAAGGACCAAAGGCCCAAGCCAAAAAGTCCCAGAATGCTGTAAAGGACGAAACGAACCTGATGGATCGTATAAACTGATTAAAGCTGTTTGTTGACTATACTTCTTGGCAAACTCACGCTTCCATGGCGGGCAAAGAGGTTGAGCCGCAGGTTCAGGTAAGTACCCATGGTGTAGACCATGAGGAAGCTGACGCTGGGGAAGATCGAGTTGAGGAGCACTTGATGAGTTTGCAGTTGCAGCACGGACTTGCTCAGACCAAAGATCTGTTCATCCTCGTTTAAAACAATCGCCTGCTCCAGAAGCTTTCCGCTGGGAGAGCTCCAGTCGATCTGTTGATCTCTGAAGCGGATGTCTGCCCGCTTGATCTCCTCCGGACTGCCGTAGCCATAGTTCACGGGTATGCCCAGGGCGCCTCCGAATCGCAACTTAGTGGTGCCCGCCTGGAACAGATCGAATCCAAAGACGGTGAAGGGCTTCACAAACTTCCGCTCAAAGGGCGTCAATCCCAACTGGTCTAGTGCCTTCTCTAGGCGTTGCTGCACTGCCTCCGGCACAGCACGCTCCACTCCGTGTCTGTAAGAGGAGAATGAATGAATGAACAGCTCCCAACCACGACCACTTGCTCACCCACTGGTAGCATTGCACGAAATCCCGGTAATACTTAAGGCCAAACGTGTGCGGCAGAAAGTTACCCACAAACAGTCCGACTGTGGTGACTCCCGCTCCATAGAACACCAGCCGTCGGCCTTTTTCAGTCTTAAAATAAGAGAATAATCCCCCACCGGCTTTTAATTTCGGCTGCATTTCAGCACTTGTCGTTTGGTAATAGTGCCAGGGTGACCATAACTGCGCCACAGAAATGCCACCACGACCATAAATAATAGGGGTATTCCATAAACTGACACTAACTAAAAAAAGAAAAACCAAAAAAGGTTAAACAAAATCAATAAAGAAGTTAATTAGTGCAAAAAATGTATTTATTTTACAAAATAAAGATGATTTTTAAATAATTCTTCATGTTTCTTTTGAAACATTTTTGTGTCAAAATTATTAGTTGCCTAATATACATAGTTCAGAAAACATTTAGATATATATTTTCTTTTTCTGCTTAAAGTACTCCATTCGCTTCAACGAATAGGACAACCTTAAATATTTAAAGCTAATACCCAGGAAATACATTTTATCTTATTTTCAGGCAGTAAAAAATTAAACAAATTTAAATTTTTAGGAAAAGGTGCCAATTTCTTTTTGAATTATATTTTTTTCATGACGTATCTTGTTAAAAGAACTATACAAGTTTACTTAATCTAAGAACTTAACCTAACTGCTGGCCGCACTTTGTAATTTAACGTCGACCATAACTACGTGGTTCCTTGCCTCCTTGAGTCGCCACCAGCGACCCAGGCGGTGCTCCTGACCGGCGGCCACAAACAGCTTGCTGCCATCGGCATTGAAGGTCAGTCCGTTGATGAAACCAGCGATGGGTATGCTCTGGATGAGGAGCATCTTGCGCGCGTTGGGATTCGTTTGCCAGAGCCGGACGCTGCCATCACAGGAGCCTAAAAAGACAGCATAAATTAACCACACTCAGTGAAAAACAAAAGTTAATTCCAACCTGTTGCCACTAAATCCGTGTTGACCACCACAGCAATGGCTGTTATCCAGTTGGCCACGCCATTATCACCCACTCCATGCGCCAGCTGGGTCGTGCAAATGGGCTTCTTCTTTAAGGCGCTCCACAAACTGATGGCCCTGTGAAATATACTTGTAACCGATTGCTCAAATCCTTCAATGCTTTTTTATTTACCCATCCATGCCACCCGACACAAAATGCTCATCGTTGATGTACTTCACGCAATCAATGCTGTCTTTGTGCCCGTTGTAGATCAGCTGCGACTCCTCTGTAATCTTCCAGATGCGCAAGGAACAATCCGAACCTCCTGCCGTGATAGCCCGCTCTCGACTGAGGGCATCAATGCTGGTCACTCCTGTTTGATGACCGAATCTGGCGGGGAAATGCGTTTAAATATTCCATATTAAAGGGGCTCGTTAAATGTTACACTTACAAGCTCTCCACATAGGCCATCTCATCCAGAGACCAGATTTTAACCGATCGATCTTTGGCCGCCGAGTACAAATCATGTGTTCCCTTGCGAAAAACCAAACCTGCCACTCTATCCCGATGGCCTTTTAAAGTCTTGACATGCTTCATCGTCTGCGGACACCAGATTTGGATATGGGGTCCACCTTCTGCCAAAGCCAGGTACTTCATATCCGAGGACAGGCAAATGGCGATGACATGGGAGCGCCTTTTTTTGCCCGTTTCGGGTTCCTCGCGGTGCGATAGAACATCGGATTTCTCCAGCACTTTCCCCGTTTCCGTGCACCATTTTAGGAGGAACTGCGATTTGGCTCCCGTGTAGAGGAATTTGCCATCTGGACTGAGTGCCAAAGCACAGATGGGCGTGTGGTGCAGCTTGTGCTTGAGGATGCGGTTCGATTCGCACGTCTTCAGACTGCCAGCGATGTTCCGGCGCAGTTTGCCCACGCTGTCCAGATACTCCGTCTGCAGGCGCTGCTCTACGCTTTGGGCTAGCTCCCGATCTTCGGCTCGATCCGCCTCCTGTCTCTCGATCTCCGACAGATACTGCTTGGCCAATCGCAGGCGCTTGTCCTGCGGAGTCTCCTCCTCGCCCTCGTCCGAGGAAAAGGCCAATGTGTTGCCCTCGCCGCCCAGATCGCTGTTGTATTCCTCATCGTCGCTGGCTATCTCCTCGTCCTCCTCCTTGGGACGGCGCTGCTTCTTTGGCACTGGTCCTGCTCCTACAGGCGCTGATTTTCCCACTTTTCCGCCTTTTTTGAGAGGTTTTCCTTTTGTTGTTGCTGCTGCGGGATTCTTTGGAAAGCGTTACAGGTGCTTCTCTCTATGCCGTGTTTTTCACTTACCTTTCGCTTTTTAGTGCCCTTGGCACCTGGCTTGAGGAAAAAGGATGACGACATCTCAGGAAATAGCTAGTCCTACGGCTTTAATTCAATAATTCTGATAAAAATAAAAACTTAATTTAAATGCTGGAACAGTCCCACGTGCATATAAAAAAGCGCGAGGGCAATTTTAGTGCATTTTCTTTCAGTCAGCTGTTTTTTGGTTGTATGCTTACAGGCTGATTGCTATGAAACCGTCTACAGCAGTGGTGGTAACTCTAAAGTGGGCGCCAATTTGGCTCAAGAATTAAATATTCAAAAGCCTTGTGTATTTTATAAACATTTCAGACTCAAATATTGCGATTAAAAAAATCCCTCCCATGTAAATAAAAAACTGAATTTGAGCTTGAATATATATCTTTATTAAGAATTCAATTGTTATTTTTTGATTATAAATCAACTACCAACTAAAAATGAAAAAATTATGGATATAATATTTGATGTTGAATTCATTATTTCGCTTTTTATTCTTTCAATTCGGCATAAAAACATACGCATTATTACAAATTAGTTAAGCTTGATGTTAATGGTTGAAGAATTCTGATTAGTTTTCTAGTGTTATAAAATTATCACAAATTATGTATACTCTGTTTTTATTCTGTGTATTTATCATTTTATTAAATTTTGCCAGTTGTTGTTTTCGGTAATAAATAATGTATACGAGTGTGTAAGTTCCGGATCGGTGAAATATCTGGGTACCTACGGAGCACGAGGCGTCGCTCTCCGGCGGAGAACGTCTCGCTGGCTATCTAAAACTAAGTAACGTGTAAAAGTAATCGTAGTAAAAATTAAATAGGAATATCGCTTGGTCGCCGAGCCGTGCGGTTTACATAATCGAGCACAGGCCCGACGTTTCGATGCCGTTCTGCACCTTCTTCGTCCGCTTCAACGTGGCGCTCCGCAGCGCCTCCTTCATCTCCACGACGGGTTCTGGTTCGGGCTCGATGGCAGCGGGCGGCGGAGTGGGTGATTTCCGGCTGGCCGCATCCGCCGGAAGCGTCACAGCTGCAGAGGATGCGGTGGAACTAGTGCTCCGGCTGCTTGTCCCGTTGTTACTGCTGCTGCTGCTGCCGCTTCCGCCGTAACTGCTGCCAATTACCGAGATAGAGCTGATCACGCTGGAGGAAGTGCTGCTGGTCGCAATCTTCGGCACGAACGTGTTGCCGCCGCATAGCACTGGAATGGTGGAAATGGTTTGAATGGCGTTCACCTGCTGCGCTGAATCTGCGGCTCCGGATGCACCACCAGCTGCTCCGCCTCCTCCTGATCCACCGATGACGCTGATGGCCGAGACTTGCGAGTCCGTCGTCGTGGCGTTGGAGGCACTATTATGACTATTACTACTCGTATTCTTAGTGATATTTATCTTTATTTTATTAACTATGCTAGCCAAAGGTAACGCCGGACCCACAGCGCTCAGGTTATGGGTGGACTCCTGTTTCTCTCCGTTCAGTTCCGCCTCCGCCGTGGCCGTCGCATCCGCCTGCTCCACCTCGTCCGCCTCGTTGGCGGGCAGGGAGAGCGAGGTCACCGACGCCGGCCGCTCAATGGTGGCCGGCGAAGCCGACGAGCCGATGGTGTGCGTTTGAGTTTCTGCCAGGATGCCAGTGGATTGAGCAACTTGATCATTTACTGAGGGCAGGGAATGAGCTGCTAAACACTTACCGCTGCTGTGGATGGAGATCTCGTCTTCGGGCAGGGGCAACAGTGACACCACCGTGCCCACGTCCTCAAAACCATCGTCCTCGTCCTCCTCGTACTCGTCCTTGGGCTCCTCCTTGATCTTGACGTTGAGCAGCGCCGCTTTGGTGGCCTCGTCCATCTCCTTCTCCACATAGGTGTCCAGATCGGTGAACGGAATGTGTGGCTCTTGGATCTCCACATCCGACTCGTTGGCCGACTCGCTCTGGGGTTGTTCCCCTTGCTGCTCCTTGTCCTTCTCCGGTTCCTTTGTCTCGGAGTTGGGCTCTGTTTTGTCTTGGGACTCGTTGCCCATGTCCGCTCGAGTCACATTGCCCGGAACATACTCGTCCTCGTCGTCGTCGTCGACAATTTCCGTGACACTGGGCTCTTCATTGGGCAGCACAATGACATCGTCGTCATCGTCATCCAAAACAGTCTGTGATGGTTTGGCGGCACCTATTCAAACACACATTTGTTACGGACTGGATTGAAAAAGTTCATTTACTGCAAACCCACCTTCAACATCATCATCGTCATCCTCCAGTTTGATCAACGTGTCCATGGCATTATCATCGGTGTTGTTCATGTCCACATCCTTGTCGGACTTAACCTCCGCCGGAGGATTCAACGAGGCCTTGTAGTCCTCGTAGCACAGAGGATGGTATATCTTATCCTCCACACGAATGGCGCTACGCAGATGCCACTCCTCGAGCTCTTCGTTGTAGAACTGCTCGAACTTCTCGTGACACATGTCGCAGCAGTGATCCACATCATCTGTTCCGGCGGCACACGTTGGCACGGGTGAGTCCAGCGACCGTTGCTGCGACAGCTCCTCGAGAGTCTCAATTCCTCCGGGCTGGCCCTGAGCCTCCAGGAAGTTCTTCTCCCGCTCCTCCACATCCTCGATCTCCTCGTATTGCCGCCAGTCGTTGAGATCATAATACCATCGACGCGACGTGGCTTTCCTGGTCGAATCCCGCTCTCTTCTGTTCTGACGGAAGTGCCAGTCCAAGTGCTGGCTGTACTTGATGGTTTGCTCTGGCGGGAAACGCACTCCACAGCTGCTGCACTGCATTCCCAGGTAAAGAGTGGCCACCACCGCAGCCTGCCTAGTCTTGATCGTTTCTGGCTTGTGGAGATCAATGCGTTTGATGGGCTCCATGGGTGGACCAGCAGGCACTGGAGCCGGAGTAGCTGCCGTTGAGGCTTCGGTGGCAGTGGCAGGTGCTTCCTTGGTCGCTGGCGAATCCGCGGCTGGCACAGCGGGAACTGCAGCAGCTCCACCTATTATGCCAGACGAAACCAGCTTCTGGAACAGATCGTTGATGTTCAAGCTCTCCAGGGCAGCGGCGGCGGCTGGCATGGAAAGGGGGCAGCAGCAGCAGCAGGTGCTGCTTTCGGTTGCTCCACCACTGGCGGCGGCTTCACAATCATTGGAGGCGGCTGCGGTGGCTCTGCAGGAGCTTCAGTCTTAATATACACCATGTCCGCCACATGCGTCTTTCCGGCGGTGACACCTTTGGGCAGCGTGCCAAATCTAACGAAGCAGTTGCGACCGCCGTTTAAGGTCATTCCCTTCGGCAGGCCACCGTACTCGATCTTCTGTAGCTGCCCGTCCAGCAAGGCGTATTGGAAACTGTCCACAAACTGCAGCGAATGCTGCTCGGCTCCCAGCTGGAAGGTCTGCTGTCTGGCGTCCAGGAAGAGCGGCACTATATTGTGAGCATCCACAATCATATTGATCTTGCCCACAACCAGGTCCCGTCGCACTCGGCCGATATCCACGTTGGGTGGCGGACCCTCTGCCTTGACCACATGCAGTTTATTTCCAATGGGCAGGGAGACGGGCGGACCACCGAAGTAAATCTCGTACCAGTGGTCGTCGATGTAGAGTTCGCGCGATGGGAAACCGAAGCGGATCCGATGGAGCTGTCCATCCAACTGGAACGGCTTGTAGTCGTCGTTGAAGCTCAGCGGCAGTGGTTCATTGTGATCAATTAGGATCACGCGCTGACCCTGCTGGAAACCAATCTCATGCGGCTGATCGCCATCCATAAAGATGATGGCCACCTGGTTGTAGAAGCGAATCTCTTTGGATCCGCCGTCGATCGTGATGCTGCGCACCACATCTGCCATGGGATTGTCCAGGGAGTTTATGGCCTTGGTCATCGTCACCGGCGGCACAGGCGGCAGACCCATCATCGAGGGCGGTTGCGGTGGCGGTGGCACTCCAGACATCACCATGGGTGGTGGCTGTTGCCAAGGCATGCCTCGGAATCCAGGCTGCGGCTGGACAGGTATTTGAATAGCTCCTCGCTTGTTGATGTTGTTGTTGTTATTACTATTATTATTGGCATTGCCCATTGCCCAGGCAGTTCGTTGTGCGGTTGCAGGATCAACTTGTTCACCCCATTTGCTGGGCTTGCGCCGCTTAAGGTCCCGCTTGGGCTTATCCCTTTTGTTGGAGGCTTTCTCCTGGGCAGGTGCGGGTGGATCCTCGTACCTGGGCGAACCATCGCTACGTGGCGAGCCCGAGGAATGATTCTCGTTGCCCTTTAGCTTGGGAATGCGCTTGCGAAGCACTGCATCCCTCGCTGCATTGCGTTCCAAGTCCAGATCATCGTCTCGGCGACGGGACTCCTTCAGTTTGCTGTTTTCATTAATGGCCACCACTTTCTGTACAAGATCCTTGTATTGTTCCTGGTTCATGCTGTGATTCTCGTACATCTCCTGAGCCTGGCTGAGAATTGTGCGAACCTTCTCGTCGTGCGCCTCCTGAGAATCATCGTTGTCCTTCAACTGAGACAGCTGCTTGAGGCGCTGCGACACAGCCTGATCCTTGCCCTTATCTGTAGGAGAGTTGACATATTTACTTTGTTAGCTAAAGATTCAAATTGGTGTTTGATCATTCTGTGAATACTTACCAGACTTGCCCTGTTTATTATGAAGACGAGCCGCACTTGTCAATCTGGCACGCAGCTCCTCCAAAGAAGCCTTCTTCGGAGGAGAACTAGATTTCTTTGTTGGCTATTAAATAGTTATATAAATAACATGTTCAAAAGTTAGATTTCAACCAATCCTACCTTGCTTACATCGCAGCTATCCATGGAATCGTCCTCCACCACAATAACGCCTGGCTTAACAGATGGAATTTCGCGACGCAGGTCTACATCCTCGCTGCCAAAGAGACTAAGCAAGCAAATTATATGAACAATTGTCATTTGAAAGACTCCAGTGGTTCACTTACGCGTCCAGTTTGGTTGACTTGCTGCGCTTCTGCTGCGGCGGTTGCTCCTCGTCGTCGATCTCCAACGGCTGTGCATCGGCGGGACGCTTTTCGGCGGCACCTTGCACCTGTAGCAACTTGTTGATCGACTGCTGGAGGGCGTCCGATACATTACCCTGCGAGGAGACGGAAGAGGACGAGGGACTGGGCGA